CTGTATGGTGCAAATACCTCGGTACAATAGCACTGTCAGCCCATAGCTGGGCATGCTGTGCTATTAATGTTCGTCATCGTGCCTGTAAATTCAATGTGTGATTTAGGCTTTGTATATACACTTAGGGCCCCGGTTTCACAGGCACCTTCTAATGTTGTGCATGGAAGATTCACACCCAGCAGCCGTGTGTGGACGTCCCAAGGCACTCAGTCATGACCTGTGGGCTCCTAGTTCCTGGCTCCGATGTTGGAATAATCCAAGAGGAGATTGGCCTTTACTCTGACCCTGTGCGGGCTAGGTCAGGACCTAGGGAGGTTAGGCAATGCAATGCAGATAGCTGTGCAGTTCCTCTTTCATGGACTTCCCTGTCAAAATTCAGTGCCTTGATTTAAGGAGATGGAAGGTGCTCCTACCACATTATTTTTAAGTAAATTACAAACCCGAGGGCAGATTGCTGGCTGCCCCATGTTAAATCAAAGGCTGTCATGGCACAGAATCAATGCTCCATAATGTCCCCTATATATTTAGAAACAGATCCTTTAATAACTCCGTGCATCTGAACACGTGGGCTGTGCCCATGAAAGCTCATGGCACCATCTACATGTTTTCTTCGTCTCTAAGGTGCTGCAGGACTATTTGGTTTTTTTTTTTTTTTAAGTTTTTCCAGTTACAAACTAACTCGGCTCCCCCTCCAAAGCTTCTGCAATGCAAATATCATTCATGTTCACCAGGACAGTGTGTTGTTAGCTAGTGACTGGCTTAGAGATTCTTGTACTTGCTGGAGGTTGTTTAGCGCAGGCAGTGGAAGCTTTTTTTTTTTAAATATACATCCTGAGGTTCCCAGTTCAATTCCTGCAGATAACCCACAAGCAAAGGCACTGTTATTCGCACTAGCTGTGTTTTTGCACGAAAATCATGCAGGCTATGTCTAGACTGCAGGCTTCTTGCACAAGAGGCTTTTATCGGACAAGATCTTCTGCAACATTTCTTGCACAAGAGCGGGTCCACACTGCAAAACCTCCTCAAAAAAGCGATGCGCTTTTGGGCAAGAGAGCACCCAGACTGCATGGGCGCTCTCATGAAAGGAAATTCTGATTGCTATTTACAGAATGGCCACCAGGGCACTTGTGCTTTTTTCAATTTTCTCTTTTTGTGCAAACCCCTCTCTTCCCTGTCCACACCTGCCTTTTTGTGAAAGAGCTCTTTTGCAAAACGGCATTCTTCCTTGTAGACTGGGGAATACCTACGCCAGAAAAACCCCTCTGTGCTTTTGATTTTCTTGTGCAAAACCACACCTGAGGTGTGGATGCTCCGTGAGTATTTTCAGAAAAACGGCCGCTCCACTTTGAAACAAGCAGGACTGTGAACCAACCGCTTGTTGTGACCCATTATGGACACTGACTGGGTGTCCTGTGGGGGGCCAGACCCTGATTTTTAAAGCTACTTTGATGCCAAAAGGAGCCTGTTGGGATTTGCAAACAACACATAGGCATCTAGCTGCCTTTGATCTCTCTTTGTTGGAATGGAGGAAAAGGCCCAGCTCTGTCTGGAACACTTGGCTGTGACAATGCAGTTGGTTTTTTTAAAAAAGGCTGGGCCTGCAATTGACTAAGGCATGAAGAGACTGGTCGCAGGCCAGCTGTCGGGCCTCCTAGGTCACAGGGCGGTGCCCCGTGTTCTTAACCATCGTGCCTTTTTCTTTTATGCCTTCCCCGTTTCAGTGTCACAGCACTGCAAAGGCAGGACCCAAACAGGCGCAGCTGGACTAGAATCAGGATTGCTTGCATGGACAGAGCTCTGTGTGTGTGTGTGTGTGTGTGAGACCAGGGCTGGACTAGCTTCAAGGCCCTGCTGGCTTCCTGTGATGACACGCCCCCATGTAGAGAACAGACACGAACGCTGGCTGCTGCACAGGGCAGCGGGTGAGCAGGGGGTTTGCTTCCTAAGGGCCAAGGGGGAAGTTTCCTAGGCAGGCAGCCCACAATGCTAGCCAGCCTCATTCCCCCCGCTGCAAAGCTGCTGGATCCCTGCTCTGGGTGCATCGGGCCTTGCTGCAGGGCTCACGCTGCCTTGCTGTCGATAGACATTCACCTCCCCTTGTCTGGGGGGCAGTGGGCGAATGCACCGGCCCCTGTCTCTGGAGATGCAGAGCCAGCGTTCGGCTGAAGAGGGCTTGGCGTGGCTGTTGGGTCCTGGACCGCACCTCCACAGCCACCGCATGTGGCAGCACGCGTGGCCGTCTCTGGCGCGGCGGGGCGGGGGGCAGGTCAGGACTGAAGGGTGCTGGCTGCAGGTCATTGTCGAGGGAAGGGCATTGGCAGAGAGGTGGAGGGAGGAACAGGAGTGGGGGGGTGCAGAGGAGCTGGGTCACATGCAACAGGGAGCTGGCACGGCACCTTGCTGGGCTCTGCCTGAGCTGGCATAAATGGGGGAGGGGGGGCCCAGACTTTCCACCCAGCTGCTTTCCCCTGTGCTAAAGTCACCTGGGATCTCCCAGCACTTGGCAAGGGAGGGGCCCTGAACCAGGCGTCTCCCTGGCCCAGAGAACAGAGCTCTGCCCAGCCCTGTGGGCATTGGGAGCACCAACTGCAACCCACAGCCGAGAACCAGGAGGCGTCCCAAAGGGGGCTCACAGGCAGGGGCACAACAGGGACCCACAGCAGCAAAGAGGGCAGGGGAGCCAGCAGTGTCCCCCTGGGAACCGTCCCATTGATTTCAGGGGGGCTGGGGGAGCGGGAGGGGCCATTGGCAGGGGGCTTTGATCTGTCTGTGGAAGAGAAATCAAGCCCAGTGCCAGGCTAACTTTGGCTCTGGCTCTCAGAAGTGTGTGTGTGTGTGTTTGGCACTGGCTCTCAGAGGTTGGGGTGTGTGCGGGGGTGTGTGTGTGTGTGTGTGTGTGTGTGTTTGGCACTGGCTCTCAGAGGTTGGGGTGTGTGTGTGTGTGTGTTTGGCACTGGCTCTCAGAGGTTGGTGTGTGTGTGTGTGTGTGTGTGTTTGGCACTGGCTCAGAGGTTGGATTTCCATCAAATAAACATGTTATTGCTAGAATTTTTTCATGACAGGAAAAACAATTTAGTTGTTCCCGCAGTGGGGCTCTTGAGTATTTAGCTCCTTAAAAGATTCTCTCAATCCCACATAAAAATGTAAGTACTGTTTCAAAAGAGAACACTTCTCTGCTCAATTTGGAGAATTTGAAGGTAGTAATTAAACCAACAGGCATATCTGTCTAATAGGGTTTGCAGGTTACGACCCGCCAACTTATTGAAAACATTTTGCAGATTACAAGCAATAAGAAATGGCTACTGTGTATTTAAACAATGAAATGCCATTTGTGTAGTCTAGTGAGCAGAGTGCAACAGCCCTGGATTCCATTCCCCACTTTTCTTCTCTCTGTGAAGCTGCAGGCAAGTCATTTAGGCATGTGACACTCACTAGGCACACTCCAAACTAAGGGAGGGCTGTGTCACCCTTGTCCTATAGCATCAGGTGCCTTACAATGCCTTGTAGTAGTTCCCAGCAGGGATGTTCACAAACAGCCTTCCATATGCAAGCCACATCCCGAGGCCACTTAAATTGTGCAGCTGAAGTTGATATATCTTACATCGCATTTCCATTCCGTCCACTTAGTGGAAGGTGAATGGAAGCCAATGTTTCCACTGGTTTCCTTTACTCCTCAAGAGGAGCAGGAGCACTGACTCCAACGGGGGGCCCTCTGAGTTCGATTTAGCGGGCAGATTGACTGTGGCAGTGTCGATCTTCTACATAGACATTTCCTGAGTGTTCCCGGATACTTCACGCTACAACCCTCCTCACTCCCCAAAAGAGGGAGAAGCCAATGCACCTTGCAGGGGAAACTGCCCTTGGGACAAACCGCCTCCCCCCTCAGCCCCATCCCTTCCCTCGCTCCCTTATTTCCCGGATACTTCACGCTACAACCCTCCTCACTCCCCAAAAGAGGGAGAAGCCAATGCACCTTGCAGGGGAAACTGCCCTTGGGACAAACCGCCTCCCCCCTCAGCCCCATCCCTTCCCTCGCTCCCTTATTTCCCCTGCCTGCCTCGCTCCCTGGCGGGCCACGCAGCTCCCGGGAACGCAAGAGCCAGCCCCGGCCCATCTAGGACAGCCGCCCGTGGGCTGCGTTTCTAGTGCCTGCTTGGATGCAGCCACATCGCCTGCAGCCGTGAGGGCGAGGGCACCCTACCCAGTCCGGCGTGGGAGCCAGGGAGCTCTCCCGGGAGGGGGCCTCATTGGTGCACTGAAGGGAGAGGAAAGTCCCGGCGAGCCGCGCTCCTGCGTCTTTGTGGGCGGTGGCAAAGGTTGAGCGGCTCCCTTGCAAGCCACCGGTCATCGGGCTGCCCCCTTTGTCTCCCCCCTGCCTCGCCCGGCTTTGCCTCCCCACCCCTCCGGCTCTGGATTGCTGCTGCTGGGGGTGGGGACGAGCGAAAGATCAGCTGAGACAGGGAGGCGAAGTTGCAAGAAAGGGGCCGTTCCGGGCTTGGCGCGTGGCACTCCAGGCGCTGGTCAGTTTCAGTTCCGAGCTGGTCAGTTTCAAAGGCTGGAGGAAGCTGCCGCTGCTCTTCTTGTTTTTCCTTCGGCGGCTGCTGCTGCTGCTTTCCCTCGGCAGTCGCCTCTCCCGAAGGCAGCGAGAGACACACACGCGCGCGCAGAGACCCCCAGTTTGCAGGAATTTCCAGCAGAAAGCTGTGCAAGCCAAGGGGCTAGCAGGCAGGAATCGTGAGCCCCCCCATTCAAGGAACCCACCGGATTGTGGCTACTCAGCTCACGCTGTGGATATCCTGCCATTTCCTCCCCTTCCATCTCTTCTCGGTTCCTTTTTTTTTCCGCCCCGAAAGATGCTCGGGAGGGATAGAACCAGACTTGTTCATCACTGGAAGAGCTAGAGACAGACGCTAGCTAGCTGGCCGGCTGCTGCAGAGCTGGGGTGATTTTTTTGGGGGGTGGGGGCTGAAAGAAACCATTTTTTTAATTCAATATCCTGCCATTTCCTCCCCTTCCATCTCTTCTCGGTTCCTTTTTTTTTCCGCCCCGAAAGATGCTCGGGAGGGATAGAACCAGACTTGTTCATCACTGGAAGAGCTAGAGACAGACGCTAGCTAGCTGGCCGGCTGCTGCAGAGCTGGGGTGATTTTTTTGGGGGGTGGGGGCTGAAAGAAACCATTTTTTTAATTCATCCGAGAAATCTCAGGATTTCTTTTTGCCTGGATTTGGGAGTTTTCTACCTGTTTACACGTGGGGAGCTATTGGATTTACTAACATGATTTTAGCAAACGTTTTCTGCACCCTCCTCTTTGTAGGTGAGTAATCCTGATTCGGATGCAAATCGTTACTCTGGGTTGGTGTGGCGGCGGCGAGTCCTTTGGCCAAACCTCCGGAGCTCTGGTGCTCGGACGGCATGTAAGAGCGGACATGTTTTATAGTGAACCAACCCCCCACCCCACCCCCAAAAAGCACAACGACCAAGCTTGGCACAGACCCTCCCTGTAAAGCGGGCTCCGATCCGGAGTGGAGATAAAAGGATGGAGAGACGCGTGTAGACGCGAGTCAGTGAAGTGTCTGGACAAGGCTTCCTAAGCGGGAAGGAATTGAGAGGGGCAGGGAAGGGGGGAGATGAGACCAAATCAGGGGGCAACTTTTGTACGATCAAACTCAGGATGAAAAGAAGCGAAAGGCTCCTACCGCCTCTCCAAGTTCTGGGGGAATTGAATCAGATACGACCCTTGCTTTCCGCCGGAGCGGGAGCCTGTCTGGAGAAGGGGTCCGCAGCGTGTTGCAGACAGCTGCCTGGCTGCGTTTTCATCCCCCATCCCCAGGAAGGTAGAAGCGTTGGCTTGTTCCTTTTGGAAAGACCCCCCCCCCCCCATTCCATCCCTTTTCCAAACCCTTTGGTGCAAGGTGGGTGGGAAGCGGGTCTCCCAGGTGCTTGGCTGGCTGGTTGGTTGGAAGTGTGTGTGTGTGTGTGTAGGGGGAGGGGGGCTGCCAGCTCTGTTGCAATCCAAGTGCCTGACGGTGTAGCTCGTGGGTGTGACCCCCAGGGCAGGCGATGTGGCCAAGCGGGTGTCTCCGGACCAGCCTCGCCAAGAGATGGGGAAGGGGCAGTCCTGTCCAGGAAGGAGTTGCCGGGTGGTTTAGGTGAAATCAAAGCCAAACGCCCCCCCTCCCAGTGCGTTATCACTTTGGCACGGTTACCCTCCCCGCTCTCCCAGGTATCTCCCCTGGCAGGCGATGCCCCTTGTAGCAACCCCCGGGCACATGGCGACCTTGGCCCCTCTCTCACATACAGCCCTGTAGCCCCCACCCCCTGGGGAATTCGGCTGGGGTCACCTTGGCCTGAGGAGTGGAGCCCTCCCTGCCCGCAGGGGACCAGAGAGATCAGCCACAGGCAAGAAGGATGCGCAGGGGGATGCGGGAAAAGAGGGACGAGGGAGACTTGACAGGGTGTTCAGAAGAGCTACTTTGCTTCAGGATCTTGCCCCTGGACTTTTGCCTTGATGGGGGAGGGGGGCCCAGCCTGGGAAGCCCCCAGCGAGAGCCCTGGGTAGGCAGACTAGGGTAGTGCCTGGGCTATTTTGGGGAGGTGGGGGGGGGAGAGCAGGGATGGGATGCAGGCGGGGGGTGGGTGTGTGTGGGGGGGGGTTATTTTCTCCTCTGCCACAGGAGGGCCGGGGTGGTTCCTTGGGGCAGGGGGGTGAGGGTCGTCCTCCCAATCGGCACTCCCCACATCCGAGTGTCAGGGCTAGGCCTGGGAATGAGGCATAAGGACTGGCTGCCAAAGTGACAGCAAGCCAGAATGCCTGGCTCCATGGGGGGTGGGAAGGGGAGGAGGGAGGGGAAGGACATGGCTGGGGTTGATGGCAGAGGGAGTAGCCCCTTTTAGGGCATGTTGCCATCCCCGATGGCTTGGGGGCGGGGCGGGGCAGCACGACTGGCAGAGCAGGAGATGGGAAGGGGTCAGAAAGAGACTGTCGCAGCACCGGCTTTGTGCTGACAGACAGCAGGGGTGTGTGCTGCGGATCAGTGTTCCCTGTAAGCCGGGTGCTTGGGCGGCTGCCCGCGCGAGACTGAAATGCCTCCCAGCTGATTAACGGAGCCCCTCAGCCACCCACCGCATGTGTTTCTACTGGCGGTGCACATCTGCGTGTGCCGCGGGGCGCCTCACAAAATTCATTCTGCACGTGGCTAGAAAAAAACGTAGAGGGACCATTGGTGGGGGAGGAGGGAGGACTCAGGATCTGCTCCCAGAAGAGATGGGGGGGGGATGAAGGCGTGTGTGTGGAGACAGATCGACAACCCCGTTGTGATGTTTGTTAGGCGTTAACCCCCTGTTTATTTGCCTGCCCATTTGGCTTGTTGAGAGGCCTCCGGTGAGCTCCCCCGGAGTCTGGGGATGGAGGACGCCGCCCCTGAGGCCGGCTCCTAGCCCTGCCTCCCGGGGAACCGGGAAAAGGCGCACGCGGCTGGACTAACAGTCTCGTTGCAGGCGAAGCTTCCTCAGTGCCAGACTGGGGGGCCCGGCATGGCGATGCTGCGCAGGCTGGGGGCGGAGCGGACCCTTCGGTCGCTACCCAAATGGGAGCTGGCACTTCAGGAAGCCTGGCTGCCCAGAGGGTGGCTGAGGAGCCCTTGATAATCTTCCCCCTCTTGGCTGAGAGCATAGGAAGCCAGGGCTGGGGGTGGGGCTGGCACGTGCCACGTGCCGCCAGAGCGAGAGCCGCGCTGTTGAATTGAGCCAGGGCAGGAGGAGTTGCCCCGAAGGCTCCCCATGTGCAAAGTGCGCGAGGCCCGTGTTCCTGGGGGCTGTGTCCTGGGAGCCGGGCGGGGGCTGGCGCGAGGGTGCCCGGCGTGAGGGCCCTTGGGTCGCTCGCTGGCCCCGGGCCGGAGGTTTGCGAGTGCTCAGCGTGTGCGTCTGCGGGGCAGTTAAGCCTCCCGGGGGCTCTGAGGGGCAATTCCAGGCCGTGCGAAGGAGGCGCTGTCGGAGAACGTCAGGCGGGGGAGGGCGGCGGGGAGGAGAAACAGCCTCCGCAGGGGCCGATGTATCACTGG